ACTCATCCACCTTGACTCTAATTATTATCATACAATAACTTATTCATCTTGACTAGTTATTATCATACAATAACTCATCCATCTTAACTAGTTATCATGTTGTAATCATACAATAACTAATCTATCTTGACTCTAGTTATTATCATACAATAATTCATCCATCTTGACTCTAGTTATTATCATACAATAATTCATCCATCTTGACTCTAGTTATCATGTTATAATCATACAATAACTCATCCATCTTGACTCTAATTATTATCATACAATAACTTATTCATCTTGACTAGTTATTATCATACAATAACTCATCCAGCTTGACTAATTATTGTCACGTTATAATCATACAATAACTCACCCATCTTTACTCTAGTTATTATCATACAATAATTCATCCATCTTGACTAGTTATTATCATACAAGAACTCATCCATCTTGACTCTAGTTATTATCATACAAGAACTCATCCATCTTGACTCCAGTTATTATCCTATAATAACTCATCCATCTAGACTCTAGTTATAATCATACAAGAACTCATCCATCTTGACTCCAGTTATTATCCTATAATAACTCATCCATCTAGACTCTAGTTATAATCATACAAGAACTCATCCATCTTGACTCCAGTTATTATCCTATAATAACTCATCCATCTAGACTCTAGTTATTATCATACAATAACTCATCCATCTTGACTCTAGTTATTATCATGTTGTAATCATACAATAACTCATCCATCTTGACTAGTTATTATCATGTTGTAATCATACAATAACTCATCCATCTTGACTAGTTATTATCATGTTGTAATCATACAATAACTCATCCATCTTGACTAGTTATAATCACACAATAGCTCACCCATCTTGATTAGTTATAATCATACAATAACTTATCCATCTTGACTAGTTATAATCATACAATAGCTCACCCATCTTGACTAGTTATAATCATACAGTACCTAGCCCATCTTGACTAGTTATAATCATACAATAGCTCATCCATCTTGACTAGTTATAATCATACAGTACCTAGCCCATCTTGACTAGTTATAATCATACAATAGCTCATCCATCTTGACTAGTTATTATCATACAATAACTCATCCATCATGACTAGTTATTATCTTACCATAACTCATCCATCTTGACTGTAGTTATTATCATACTATAACTCATCCATCTTGACTACTTATTATCATACAATAACTCATCCATCTTGACTAGTTATAATCATACAATAACTCATCCATCTTGACTAGTTATAATCATACAATAACTCATCCATCTTGACTAGTTATTATCATACAATAACTCATCCATCTTGACTAGTTATAATCATACAATAACTCATCCATCTTGACTAGTTATAATCATTCAATAGCTAGCCCATCTTCACTAGTTATAATCATACAAAAAATCATCCATCTTGACTGTAGTTATTATCATACTATAACCCATCCATCTTGACTAGTTATTATCATACAATAACTCATCCATCTTGACTAGTTATTATTATACAATAACTCATCTATCTTGACTAGTTATAATCATACAAAAACTCATCCATCTTGACTCTAGTTATTATCATATTATAACTCATCCATCTTGACTATTTATAATTATACAATAACTCACCCATCTTGACTAGTTATAATCACAATAGCTCACCCATCTTGACTAGTTATAATCACAATAGCTCACCCATCTTGACTAGTTATAATCACAATAGCTCACCCATCTTGACTAGTTATAATCACAATAGCTCACCCATCTTGACTAGTTATAATCACAATAGCTCACCATCTTGACTAGTTATAATCACAATAGCTCACCCATTTGACTAGTTATAATCACAATAGCTCACCCATCTTGACTAGTTATAATCACAATAGCTCACCCATCTTGACTAGTTATAATCACAATAGCTCACCCATCTTGACTAGTTATAATCACAATAGCTCACCCATCTTGACTAGTTATAATCACAATAGCTCACCCATCTTGACTAGTTATAATCACAATAGCTCACCCATCTTGACTAGTTATAATCACAATAGCTCACCCATCTTGACTAGTTATAATCACAATAGCTCACCCATCTTGACTAGTTATAATCATAATAGCTCACCCATCTTGACTAGTTATAAACATACAATAACTTCGTCTACAGTAATTCAGGTATATTTTCACCTGGTATTCCTAGAGCGATGGGTTTAATGGTGCCTGATTTGTATCCTGGGTTTTCATTTAGAATTTAAGAATCTCCTGAACACCTGAAGGACGTTTTTCGGGGGGTCAGCGCCCCCGCGGCCCGCTCCCACACCATTTCTCCTAGTGGATCAAATCCTGTTCAGCCAGGCTGTTACTGCTGGCCGCAAGCAGTCTAACATCATGGTTGCCACAGAAGCCGAATTTCAAAATTCTCTAACAAAATACAAAAAAATCCCTTGCAATATTTCAGTACCTGTTGACCTTCAACCTACCCTCACAGCCGGCCATAATAATTAATAATAATAATAATAATAACAACAACAACAACCTCAACAACAGCCTCAACAATAATAATAGTAATAATAATAATAATAACAATAATAATAATAACAATACATCATTATTTCTACAAGTACATGATACAACTTTTCCACACCTAGGTGACATCAGTGACATACAGTATAGAAAGCCCCTTGATCATGGAGAGCATTTTGGGTAACTTAGGTTAATTTTGTGCCCAGGCTGCGACCCACACCAGTCAACCAACACCCAGGTACCTACTTGTTGCTAGGTGATCAGGGACAGCAGGTGTAAACAAGTATACCTCTCCTCAGGTTTCCATATTATATACAGTAGAATAAGATGGTCAGTATTTAAATATGTTGTAAAATTCAACTTTAAATGGACTTTAGAATTTATATTATCATATATATATATATATATATATATATATATATATTATATATATATATATATATATATATATATATATATATATATAATATATATATATATATATATATGTATGCATATGTATATATGAGGTATATGTGGAGGCAAAAAATGTTATCTATGGAGGCAAAGAAGGGAATGTATGAAAGTATAGTAGTACCAACACTCTTATAGGGGTGTGAAGCTTGGGGGGTAAATGCGGGAGCAAGGAGACGGTTTGGGGAGGGAGATGCCTGTCAAAAGAAATGGTGGGTTAAATATTACCAAAAAATTTGGGATGTGGAAATTAGGGAAAGGGTTGGATTAATAAAATTTTATCAAAGGGCTGAAGAGGTTTGTTGAGGGGGTTTGGTCATTTAGGAGAAGGGATCAAGGTAAATGCTGGAAGCGAAAAACGTGGGGGGAAAAAAGGCGGGTGGGGTTGTCCTCGAAAAGGTTGGGGGAAGGGGGTATAGGAGGTTGGGGGGCGGGGGTTTTGGACTTCCAAAGCTGCGTGAGCGTTTTTAAAGGGAAAAAAGGGAAAAAAAGGAATCTGGGACCTGACGATCGTTGTAGGGAGCGGGAATTTTTAAAGTGAACGGACTCGGGAAAAACCGTTTTTTTATAAACCGACTTGATCCTAAAATGGGAAAGTACAATCCTGCACCAAAAGGGACGGGGTTTGGGATTTTGGTTTTTTTGGAGGTAGTTGTTTATTTTTATACGTAATACTTCAACTTTTGTATTCTGAGCACCCTGAAAAAAATGATTATGGTGATGAGGGAAATGTTGAATATGAAAGTTTTTTCTGGGGTTTTTTCTTTCTTTTGGGGTCACCCCCCTCGGGGGAACGGCCGGCTTTTTGAAATATTATAATAATAAATATATTATATTATATATTAAAATATATATTATATATTATATATATAATATTAAAAATTATCGAACTTTTTCTGATTAAAAGGTTAATGAGCAACTGTAATGATCTCAGTTATAGAAACATCAAAAATTACTGTCTCGGCAGAGTAATATGACTGCTACAAATCTTCAGTCACTATGAACGCTGTGATCAGTTTGTTTTACAGTATTTTTCCGGCGTATAAGGCACCTTTTTTTCCCACACAAAAAAGTCTAGGAAAATCACTCTGCCCCTTTTATGCTCAAGGTCAAGGACAAGGGTAGTTTTTGGATTAGGGTTTTTCATTGTTTTAAACGTTATGTTACAATGCTTACAAAGTCTTGTGTCTTGCATGCTCGTGCGCCTTATATGCCCGAAAATACAGATTTTTTTTTTTACTGTAATTTTAGTCTTTTTTTTTCTTGCACTGTCTTATGCAGGTTTCTGAATTAATGTGAAGTAAAAAAAAAAGAAAAGTACTTCATAATTTTATAAAGAATGTTATCAATTCGTGGGCGGTCGTATGAAGTGAAGGCGGCGTGACTGTTGTGGTAGTCTGGAGGAAGAGTGATGTTCGCTCTTCAAGACGAGGCGTCAGGCCGTTATTGCTGATATTTAACTGCATTAGAAACTTATGACGCACTTTGTACTATTCTTTCCTTTCGTGCCTTAAGGTATAAGGGGCTAAGATTATAGGATATATGCAATTGTTTCTCAGTCCATTGTGATATATAGTGTTGGACTTATGGGATACTTTTCTCAGATCTTTGACGTACATTATTATTATTATAATCAAGGGGGAAGCGCTAAACCCAGAGGATTATACAGCGCCTGGGGGGGGATGTGGAAGGCATTCAGGCTTAATTCGGGGAACTGGAGCACAAATCCAATTCCCTAAATCAAGAGCCCCTCACCAGCATCAAGGAACCTTCCTTGAGGGGTCTTTGACGTACAGTGGGTCGGACTTACGGGATACGGGGATACTTTTCTTGGATCGTGCAGCGACCAAACCACATCAAGTTTACCACGATTAATTTTGACTAACTTTATATTTAATATAAGATGTGATATTAATGGGCAAAAGTCATATTTTACATATCTTATTGCCTCTTTCATGTCTTTATAGTTGCCAACAAGTTGCCTTTGTATAACCGTTAATTACTTTTCCTCGTTAGGTTTGAGTCATTCGAAAACGTCCAAGAAGTTTGGAAGCCTTCCTTGGACGGCTCTCTCAGGACAAAACGAGACTCTGGAGGTTTTACTAAATTAGGATTTCCTGTCGGAAGTGAACGAATAAGTGTTCCGGAAGTGGACGCGGAAGTCCCGTATGAATTTTCCAAAGGCTCCTCCGATTCCAGGGACCGAAATTCATCTCCAGGATTTTCTCGGCTGAACTTCTTCCCTCAGCCTGTGGAAGCGGACTCTGACTATTTACCACCACCAGACACCACCTTCAAGGGCACAAAGGGAAGCAGGTAAATGTTTCAGGGCGAGGTCGTACAATGGCAATGAGGTATTAATCTTTGAAGACTAAACTCACTTATATTTCCATTATTTACACTCGAACTAAATCTATTTTGTTTAGTCGATACACAATCAGGATTATGCAAAAATCGCAAACAGGCGATAGAAGAGACAAAACAATCACGGGGGAGTTTTATGCAATCAACACATCATGAGCTTGCAATATTGCAGAAAAGAGGAGGAGGTCCAAGCAAATACGATGACAGGGATCGACTTAGGGCGCACATTGTGTATATGTATGTATGTGAATTAAAACAGTGTTATTCTTCAGGGGTGATGATGACGACGCAGAGATAGTGCTGCTGCCTCCTCGCAAAGACGCATCCAACACACCTCCCGTCACCAAGACAGGTGGGTCTTTCACCATCACTCATAAATGTTTGTGTGTGTGTGTGTGTGTGTATGTAGATATATATATATATGTCGTGCCGAATAGGTAAAACTGGTCAGTTAGCAAGAACTCATTGAAAATTAAGTCCTTTCTAAAATTTTCATTTATACGTTTAAAGATATATTTTTTTTAATTTATGTTAATGTAAAAATTAATAATTTTGTACCAAAAGAACCTTAGAAAACTTACCTAACCTTATTATAACAAGCTCAGTTTAATTTAGCCTAATCCAACTAAATATATTTTAGATAAGTTTACAATAATTTAATAATAAACAAACAGTGAAATATACATTTTTCCTTAGGTTCAGAATTATTTTTGCGAAATTATTGCATACACAAATTTTCGCTAGTCTTATTCGGCAAGAAGAGAATTGCTATTTAAGCCAAAATAGCAAGTTTTACCTATTCGGCACGACACACACACACACTCACACACACACACACACACACACACACACACACACACACACACACACACACCCCACACACACACACACACACACACACACACACACACACACACACACACACACACACACACACACACACACACACACACACAGGAGATGTGACTCGACCCCTGCAACCACAAATAGGTGAGTACACACACACGCACGCACGCACACACGCGCACGCACGCACACACGCGCACGCACGCACGCACGCACGCACGCACGCACGCACACACACACACACACACACACACACACACACACACACACACACACACACACACACACACACACACACACACACACACACACAGGAGCTAGGACTCGACCCCTGCAACCACAAATAGGTGAGTACACACACACACGCACGCACGCACGCACACACACACACACACACACACACACACACACACACACACACACCACACACACACACACACACACACACACACACACACACACACACACACACACAGGGAGGCACACTGACAGGGAGGCAACAACGAGTCATGGTACGTAATGATGTATCACAGTGGGCACCTGTGACGAGCGGGGTCCCACAGGGGTCGGTCCTAGGACCAGTGCTATTTTTGGTATATGTGAACGACATGACGGAAGGGTTAGACTCAGAAGTGTCCCTGTTTGCAGATGATGTGAAGTTAATGAGGAGAATTAAATCTGATGAGGACCAGGCAGGCTTCAAAGAGACCTGGACAGATGGACCACCTGGTCCAGCAAATGGCTTTCTCGGAATTTAATCCTGCCAAATGCAAAGTCATGAGATAGGGGGGAAAGGGGACAGAAGACCACAGACAGAGTTTTAGGCTAGGTGGCCAAAGACTGCAAACCTCCCCTCAAGGAGAAAGATCTTGGGGTGAGTATAAAAACCGAGCATGTCTCCCGGGAAACACACATCAATCGATAACTGCTGCAGCATATGGGGCCTGGCAAACCTGAGAACAGCATTCCGACACTTAGTAAGGAATCCTTAAGACACTGTACACCGTGTATGTCAGGCCCCTACTGGAGTATGCAGCACCTGTTTGGAACCCCCACTTGATAAAGCACGTCAAGAAACTTAGAGAAAGTACAAAGGTTTGCAACAAGGTTAGTTCAGAGTAAGGGGAATGTCCTATGAAGAAAGATTAAGGGAAATCGGCCTGACGACACTGGAGGACAGGAGGGTCAGGGGAGACATGATAACGACATATAAATACTGCGTGGAATAGACAAGGTGGACAAGGACAGGATGTTCCAGGGAGGGGACCAGAAACAAGAGGCCACAATTGGAAGTTGAGAAAAAAAATTTGGTCAGAGAGATATTTGGAAGTATTTCTTCAGTCATAGAGTTGTAAGGCAGGGAATAGCCTAGAAAATGACGTAGTGGAGGCAGGAAAACCCTACACGTTTTAAGACGAGGTTTGATAAAGCTCATGGAGCGGGGAGAGGGAGGGCCTAGTAGCACCGGTGAAGAGGCGGGGCCAGGAGCTAGGACTCGACCCCTGCAACCCCAAATAGGTGAGTACAATAGGTTGGGGTACCACCACATACACACACACACACACAACAACCACCAACACACACACACACACACACACACACAAACACACACACACACACACACACACACACACACACACATACACACACACACACACACACAGACACACACATATGCATACATGCATATCAGGAACGTTAAGAGCAATATTAGATATTATTGTGTACTTACCTGTGCTCAAAAATACATAGTATCTCCCAGGTAAAGGTAGTCACTGTGCATCACTTATTCTCTGAAAGTTATAGCACAGTGGTAACATTGTTGCTCATATAGCACGGTAGCCATATTGTCTTTCATATAGTATAATAATAATAATATTTTTTCTCGTATAGCACTGTAGTCATTGTGCTTTTTTAGTAATCATATTGTTGAGATCTCCTATAGCACGGTAGTAATAGTGTTGCGCATATAGCACGGTAGTAATAGTGTTGCGCATATAGCACGGTAGTCTTAATGTATCTCATATAGCACGGTAGTAATAGTGTTGCTCATATAGCACGGTAGTCTTAATGTATCTCATATAGCACGGTAGTAATAGTGTTGCTCATATAGCACGGTAGTCTTAATGTATCTCATATAGCACGGTAGTAATAGTGTTGCTCATATAGCACGGTAGTCTTAATGTATCTCATATAGCACGGTAGTAATAGTGTTGCTCATATAGCACGGTAGTCTTAATGTATCTCATATAGCACGGTAGTAATAGTGTTGCTCATATAGCACGGTAGTCTTAATGTATCTCATATAGCACGGTAGTAATAGTGTTGCTCATATAGCACGGTAGTCTTAATGTATCTCATATAACATGGTAATCTTATTGCATCTTCCATAGTACTGAAATTACATGGTATCTTACGTATCACGGGACTCACATTGTCTCCATTACTTGCTGCTCTTCCCCACACTTCCTCTTCATTTCACCTACTGACCGCCCTCCTGCCCCCTCTTCATTTACCTCTACTGATCTGAAAATGTATATGCATGGTATATAATACTGACAAGATGAAGAATTAGGCACATGTGCAACAACTGGGTAACTTTATTGTAGACGTTTCGCCGTCCAGTGACCTTATCATTAGATGATGTTCTTGAATTTGTATTGAAAAAAACTTTATCATAGACGTCTACAATAAAGGTTCCCAGGTGTTGCACATGTGTCTAATTCTCCTTCAGTCGATCACAGAGGAGACAGCAGAAGCAGTAGATATGTCAAGACGATGTAATCAGTCCATCATCTTTGAAGAGAGATGAACTAATTGCATTGTCATCACATCTTTACTGCTTTTGCTGCCTCCTCTGTACTAGTTTGAAGATGAGGAATTAGACACATGTGCAACATCTGGGTATCTTTATTTGTAGACGTTTCACCGATCATTGGCTTTATTAATACAATACACGGATGTTAGGTAAAAGGACACGAAGTGCAGCTAATGTGACAATTTATTGCGGCAACGTTTCGGTCTCCAGGAGCTTTGTCAAACCGTAACGCCTTGACATTACTTGCACTTGTGTCCTTTTACCTAACATATTGTCGGTAATTCTACCAACATTAATACAATACAAGAATATAATGTGAAGAATGTAGAACTATATACAAACGATGAGGTAATCAGTCTGCTGTGTAGGCGAAACGTTTGGGAATAAAATCACCTAACTGTTGCACATGTGTCTTACTTATTTACAACGCTTTGTTTGAAAGCATCATGCTGAGGCAAGTGCTCAGTGATGACACCTTCCTCAGAGTGTGGGGTAGCGCCCCGGACACCACAGAATTCCAAGTTAGTGTGTTCAACGTACTCCGGTTGCCGTGCTACCTGCAACAGTGAGTACCAGTTCCCCTCGGGCCAGCGGCGGCTTTTCGTCGTGTGTGAGAATGGTCGGTGGACCATCAGTGGCTCGAACTGGGACACTCTCCCTGATTGTGAACGTGAGTCTCATTCTACTGCTTAAAAACATTCAACTTACCTTTAAGATCCTGCTACTGTTTCACTGAGACACACTGCTGTACTGAGATAAACCCTTTCAGTACTGACTTACGAAATCGTAATGACACAATTGTGGGTTCTATCCTCGCCCGAGGTATGGTGTTTTTTCTCTCCCAGTACTAGATTTTACTTGACCCTAACATACTACCAGATTAGGATATACCACTCTGCTGGGATATATATAATACTGGGAATACATGGTGTAGAAAACCGACAAGTTGATAAACGAGAAACTTGTGTGACATTTGGGTATCTTTAATCTGGAAATGTTTCGGAAGGCAGTGGCTTCTTCAGTCCAGTGCAGAAAAAGGTGAGATGAGGAGTTTGAGGTAATCGGTCCCTTAGCCTGAAGTCGATGTGTTTTGTCCGTCAGTCTTTATACAGATGCAGCATATTCGCGGAGATGGAGCTAATATACTGGTGACAGTTGAGGTGGAGCACAGTTATTTCACTTATCATATATAGTACTTTACGGGAGGTTTACTATAACGGTACTGTGACATGCCATAACTGCGAGTTATATATCACCATACCTTCCATACCACTACATGGTGCCATATCATTAGTATTCTGTGACTAAGTGTTAAAAATGTGAATTTGCATCCGGTTTTTGAAATCCGCAATTGCCCATTCATAATGTAGGTTGTAAATGTCAAGATAACAGCAACCTGGGTACTGTAAGGCAGTGGAAAGATAAATACTACCATGCTATTGCTTATGAAGATAATTGTTAAACAGTGTCTTATCTTTGTGCAAGGGAGAACATACACAGTGTTCAAATGCAAACAAAATTATTTCACTGACATTTATTCACGTCTCTAATGCATATATGTATATATATATATATATATATATATATATATATTATATATATATATATATATATATATATATATATATATATATATATATATATATATATATATATATATGTTGTGTGTGTGTGTGTGTGTGTGCGTGTGTGTGTGTTCACTGTGCCAATACTTATAAGTAATTGTTGTGTTCTTGAGCCCGGATGTACTCTACATTGTGGGAACAATATGTACATGCTTGATCTATCGAGATATACTGTTATTGCATGGGGATACAGCTTTAATGTACGTGAACAAACAATTATTACTGGGCATACTACTACTTTACTCAGATATATCACTATCGTGATATATGATACTGCTCTGACGAATTTTAAAACTATCACAATATCTCTACTGGCACTGATGGCCTGGTGGCTAAAGCTCTCGCTTCACTGGGCGAAGGTGTGAGTTCGATTCCCAGCGAGGGAAGAAACATTGGAAGTGTTTCTTTACACCGGTTGTCTATGTTACCCATCAGTAAAATGGATACCTGGGTGTTAGCCGAGTGTTGTGGGTTGCATCCTGGGACAAAACTGACCTAATTTGCCCGAAATGCTCTGCATAACCTGCTGCTTTCTATATAGTAGTATGTCATTGATGTTAACTAGGACTGTATACCTTGTACATGTACCTGTAGAAATAAAGATTATTATTATTATTATTATTATTATTATTATTATTATTATTATTATTATTATTATTATTATACTGGGGATCACCACGCTTCTAAATGGTCGTAGCACCACTCCACTGGGACTTACCACTGTTTTAATGGAATGTATAATTGTTCGACTGGGATGAGGCAGCTATACCCAAGTAGGACACATTACTAATTTGTGAATAATCATAATACAGTAACTGTGTTTCCCTTCCGACTTCCCCAGCCATCTGCAAGCCACCGTGTCAGAACTCCGGCTTCTGCTTCGCTCCAGGTTTGTGTCACTGCCCACCCAACTGGGAGGGCAGGTCCTGCGAGGTACCTAAAGGACCTCCCCCTGGCTTATGTCCTGAGAGGCCGACCACGCCCAAGAATTCCATCATACGCTGTTCGAGGAAGTGAGTCCTCATGTGCTGACACTGTCAGTCTCTTTTACGTTTTATATTGACAATAAGTCGACAAAAATACTTTTATTAGCGGAAAACATTTATTATACGATATTTCACCCATACTGGAGCTTTAGCAGGTAGTAGATAAAGCTAAACTATGGGCGAAACGTCTGTAATAAAGACTTTCTCTGCTAAAAGTCTTTAAAAGTATCTCCACTTTTTACTAACAAAACTAAATTGATATTGATACAAACATCATTATTTAACAAAAACAATAGCATTACGTGGTGTCACGTGACCTCTATAGTTGTAATAAGTAAGATCTTCCATCACCAGCATCAAGGAACCTCGCCTCATGGGAGGTTCCTTGATGCCGGTTAGGGGCTCTTGATCCAAGGAATTGAACTTGACTTTCCGTTCCTTGGATCGAACCTGCATACCTCCCATTCCCCCAGGCGCTCTATAACCCCTACGGCTTTAGCACTCCCTCATGATTGTTATAATAATAATGTCAGTAGAAAGTAGTACAATCTGACTTAAACTGTTCTGACTATGAACGGGTATCAAATGACTTGGATCACTGGCACTAAAATGCCTCATAGGAAGGTCACGAGTTACGATAAGAGTTGTTCGGATTTTTAACACGGAGGGTTAGTCGCACAGGATAATCTAAGGGAGTCAGTGCGTCATCGAGGACTGTCTGTCTTATTTCCAATGTGGTCCTTCAATCTTGTCCCCCAGGATGCGACCTACACCAGTCGACTAACAGTGACAACAAGTACCTACTTACTGTTAATTGAACAGGGACAACAGGTGTAAGGAAACATGCCCAACGTTACTACACATGCCGATGATTGAACCATGGACACTCAGTGTGTGAGGCGCGTCGCTCCTCAAAAATGTTAATGAAAAAATGCCCCCCCCCCTCAAATAAAATAATTGATTTAAAAATTAATTTTTAATATACTGTACCTGTATTATACATATAATATCTGGAGTCTGTTGTATGCACAGCAATACTGGCAAAAGATTAATGTGTTTTTAAGTATAAAATTACTATTCGTTATTTCAGAATGATTAATTGTGAAACTCCATGTTACGGAAATGATAAGAAATGACTGAAGGTCAATATTTTTAAATAATATTAAATTAATAAATTTTCAGAAACTGCACTGCTGAATGTTTGGAAGGTCACCAGTTCAACGAGCATCTTACACGCATCACTTACCAGTGTGTAGACGCCAGCTGGATCATCCAGCAGCCAGGATGGAACCAGGAAATCCCATCTTGTCAGCGTGAGTATTGTGCTCTTCACAACCTTCCAGTCTCCAACAGGACTCAGCACTAGCGAGGTCGCTGGTAGCATCACTGATCTGGGGTGATGACCAGTATAACTTGGGCTTCTGACCTCCCTCACACCACTCATCACATGGAAGGTTACTCACGTAGGAAGTAGCAAGCCACTTTTGGATGGTGGTCCTCTTAATTAGTTAAAAAGCATGTCGAATTTGTTTTCAATCTTTCTAACAATTCCCTGCTAGGCTAACTCTGTCTACCCTCTTTAAAAATATCATCTTTGATTCATATTCTACTACTTATTGCTTTTTATCCGTGGTTTATGTAACACCGATGTTGACTCGCATTCTTGTGATGTTTTGCCTTGTCTAATTCGCTAATATATCCTATTTTACTCGTGGGATCCTGCCCTATTACCTACCGTACAGCACTGAATGACACCCATAAGTTTACCATCTTTCTTAAACTTTATTGTTATTTAACATTATCAGTTGTTATAATTATTACTGCAGATTTTGTAAATATTATTTCGTGAAGGCAGCTTCCTTGCCATTTCCTACTTACAAGCTTGCTATATCTGGAGGTTAAGCACTTCATAAATGTTTATGGTTAAAACCGATTTCAGTTAGATGTGAGTACACACAAAAATAGTCTACTTATATACTGAGATAAAGGTTTGTGTGCCTGCAGCAATCTGTGACCCAGTGTGTATGTACAACGGCAAGTGTGTCGCCCCCAACCTGTGTCAGTGTACCGCTGAGTATCGTGGTGATGTCTGCCAGTACCGTAAGTCATCTTATATCTTACAGTTTTTCCCCCTCTAGTGGTTATTTGTATAATAAAAAAATTACTTTTCTTGTGTCTTGCATTTTTTGATACTATTTTCTCTCCCCCCGTTCTCCTATAACCTCAACAGAACTTTTTTTTTCCTAACTGCGCATCTTATATTTACAAGGAGACACTAAGGCCGTCGGGGACATACATCGCCCACCTGGGTTTAAATTCTTAGAAAAGTCATGCATAACTAATGACATGCACTCTGTCTGACTTTTTTTGGGTTATCCTAGGTACATTACACATATGCTGCTATGTATGATAATCTATGTAATTGTATTTGTGTATACCTGAATAAACTTACTTATACCAAAAGGTGTACATCTCTCAGCTTATACATACAGCGGGTGCTTGAGTATCTCAACTATGTTGAAAAGTATTATTACATTCATGGGGAAGTACTGAGCGTCTGGAGGGACGGGGAACAAAAAACCAAATTCAATCCAAGAAGAGATGCTATATTTCCTTCGAGCAAGAGACCTTCACCAGCATGGAGGAGCCCTTCTTTAAATTACAAGATATGTGAAACACCTTCAGCTAGATGAAGGAAAATCCGGCTATTCTACTGGGTCGGGTCTTTTTTTATTTGATAGAAATCATAGAACGTCACTGAATATTTTCATATAACGCGTTATACATGATCCAAAAACTGAACAAAAAAATCCGTATATGTCTCCCAAACAATCATAACTTCAAAATCAACAATTCTTTACCAAAATATCCCAAAATGAACCTACCACCTACACTAAACTACTACTACTACCACCACTAATATACTAATAGACTATATACTATAGATTGAAACGTATTATGATTGTTTTCCAGCAAAACTAACTTTAAAATAAATATACAAAAATATTTTGATATTTTCCAGACATCTCGAACTGCGACCCCAAGAGTCTTAGCTTCAATGGTGGATACAACTGTTCTGGCAGAGGGATGCAGTACGGGTGTGTGCTTTACTGTCCCGAGGGTGTGCAGTTTAAGTTCCCTCCTGCAGAGTTATACAGCTGTGACTACGCTACCAGCACCTGGTCACCCTCACCCATACCCATGTGTGATGTTGGTAAGTTCAAGCAGTTGCTACCTTCAAGGAACTGGTGCTGCCCTTAGATTCATCGGGCGCTGAAGGACCCCAACGTGTTTAGCGCTTCCCATCGGATGTCATAAAAAAATAAGCAGGCTCCTTTGCCCCCCCCCCCAAAATGGTTCTCTACTATAATGTGGTAGTAGCAGAGGTTGCCATAAACATTTTTCTGTTCAAAGCTGTCAAACAATGTTTACTTCTTCAACGTGAAATGCAAAACTAGATATTTGACATATTAATGTCTCATATATATATATATATATATATATATATATATATATATATATATATATATATATATATATATATATATATATATATATATATATATAGATATATATATATATATTATATATATATATATATTATATTATATATATATATATATATATATATATTATTATATATATATATATATTTTTTTTTTTTTTTTTTTTTTTTCAACAAGTCGGCCGTCTCCCACCGAGGCAGGGTGACCCAAAAAAGGAAAGAAAATCCCCAAAAAGAAAATACTTTCATCATCATTCAACACTTTCACCACACTCACACATTATCACTGTTTTTGCAGAGGTGCTCAGAATACAACAGTTTGGAAGCATATACCTATAAAGATACACAACATATCCCTCCAAACTACCAATATCCCAAACCCCTCCTTTAAAGTGCAGGCATTGTACTTCCCATTTCCAGGACTCAAGTCCGACTATATGAAAATAACCGGTTTCCCTGAATCCCTTCACTAAATATTATCCTGCTCACACTCCAACAGATCGTCAGGTCCCAAATACCATTTATCTCCATTCAGTCCTATCGAACATGCTCATGCACGCCTGCTGGAAGTCCAAGCCCCTCACCCACAAAACCTCCCTTACCCCTTCCTTCCAACCTTTTCGAGGACGACCCTACCCCGCCTTCCTTCCCCTGCAGATTTATACGCTCTCCATGTCATTCTACCTTGATCCATTCTCTCTAAATGACCAAACCACCTCAACAAACCCTCTTCAGCCTTGTGCCTAATACTTTTATTAACTCCACACCTTCTCCTAATTTCCACACTCCTAATTTTCTGCATAATATTTACACCACACATTGCTCTTAGACAGGATATCTCCACTGCCTCCATCAGCTGAGACTAGCCGAGACTCGAACCTGAGAGGGATAGGCAGCCTCATGGGAACCTAGCTAAACTCAGATAACCCTTGGTCACTACCCCACAATGCCACAAGTGTCCTTACTTAACACCAAACGTGTTGTGGCATGTTGGTGTAGGGAGTTGAGAGTTGAGCCCAGCTAGTTTCCCGTGAGGCTGCCGAGACGATTCGGGTTCGGATCTCACCCAGTTGCAGAGAGAAGTTGTGTGTGGTGCTTACCTTATGCTGCTATTTTTATACTATGGAGCTAAAATAAAATTTTCAGTTATAATCTGTAGAGTTTAATCCCTATCTTATTGGTTAAATTAGAATTATTATTATTATTATTACTGTTGTTGTTATTGTCAGTATTATATTAAGCGCTAAACCCGTACAGGTCATTTAGCTCTGACGTTTATCATATTCCTAAAGTATTAATGTTGTGTTGAAGTGAATTGCTTCACTAACAACGCTCGTGTAGTCAAACAACCGTATAACATTTTCTGTACATCTCTTAAAGTAACATCCTCGTCGTTTACAGACACCTTCAACATCAACGTTATTAGGGAAACTACCTCGCAGGTGATCCCAAAACTGCCTGGATCCTGCTACACCTGGTCAGGAACACATTACAAGTCTTTTGATGGCAAGGTCTACAGGTGAGATATAGTCGAAGTTTTTCTGTGTAAAAGTGTGTGTGCTTTAAATATTTTTTTTGGTGACTTTTTTTTAACAGACTTAAAATAGGATATATGTCACTCTTACACACGTGTAACGTGTTCTGTAAAGACGGTTTCTGTATTATCCGGACTATTATTATTATTATTATTATCGTCATAATAATAAATTATTTTATTTTACTGCTATTTTGAAGTGCTAAACCCATTAGAGTTTGTCACCAAGAAATCTTCTATGTTTGTGGGGGGACAGACCTATAATATGCAGAGGGGCTTATCAGATTTGATACTACATATGCATTAAGTTATCAGTAGATTTATTATTTTACGTATTGTATCAAGATATGTTTACCAGTTTGAAGTTCTAACCAGCCGGAAGATTCAAGTTCACTTATGCATAACTTTGAGAGTTCACGCAGCTACACTGTTATTATATGCATCAGTTGATTATCAATTTTCGTACTGTATATTAATTAACTTATTAACAGAATTCAATAATATACCTAAAACACCAAATAATTTTGCATGATTTTGATACAGGAGGCCCCGCTTATACAAAGCCTATTTTCGGTGTTCACGTTTTCATTGGCTTTCAGTTGAACTATTGTCCATCCGCCGGTGAAAATCGCCTGAAAAGGTGCTGTATATGAGGGGCCCTCATGTATCAAGTTTTTCTAATTCGGGGTATTCAAATTTACTTATATATTGTGTCTTGGGTGGCAGCTTTGAGAGTTCGTGTCCCTACACACTGCTTCAGGACTCTACCCATGGCACCTTCACCGTCAACCTACGTACTGCTGACGGCTGTGAAGGTACTTCTTGTCCCAAGGTTATCCAGCTCTTCCTTGAAGACGACCAGTATGTTCTTCAAGCAACAGGTTGGTGCATACCTCCTTTTCTTTTTGTTCACATATTACCGAGTATGTTTAAGTCACAGGTTTGTGTAGACAGATAGAATTAGCTTAATCCAGTCGGTATAGACAGTGATTAACTAGACTAGCTTAATACATAATTAGTGTAGACAGAGGTAGAGTTAACTAGACAGTAGCTTAATCTACGGTCATTGTAGAGAGGTAGAGTTAGTTTAATCCACAATCATAGTAGACAGAATTAGAGCTAGCTAATCATTAGCTAAATCTACAGTCATTGTAGACAGAGGTAGAGTTAACTGGACAACAGCTTAATCTACAGTTCGACTACCTGACCTTCAAGTGACCTAAGATACAGTCCTGCCACGTCCCAGTTCTTGGGCCGGCACCACTGAACGGGTCATCTTCCGACAGTGAACCATGTCCAGTTTTTTTTTCTTCTGGCAAATATAAATCTAACAGCAATAATATAATTAGTCCTGCTGTACCTCATTATCTGGTGTCATCACAGTCGTTTGTGTCCACAGAGTCAGGTCAGCCGAGTCTGGCCTACCGGGACACAAACCTGGCCATCCCAGGTCAGATGAACGGTGTCGTGTCTGAACGCGTGGCTCACTTTGTTGTTCTCAAGGTGTCTGGCCTTGGTCTCACTATCAAGTGGGACATGAAGGTAAGCCTAGTGTTGCTAACCGTGAGTGTTTGTACTGTGTTGTGTGTGTGTTGAATTGTGTTGTACTCAAGGTGTCTGGCCTTGGTTTCACTATCATGTGAGACATGAAGGTAAGCCTAGTGTTGCTTACTGTGTGTGTCTGTACTCACCTGTTTGTGGTTGCAGGGGTCGAGTCACAGCTCCTGGCCCCGCCTCTTCGCTGATTGCTACTAGGTCCTCTCTCTCCCTGCCCCATGAGCTCTATCATACCTCGCCTTAAAACTATGTATGGTTCCCGCCTCCACTACGTCACTTTCTAGGCTATTCCACGGCCTGACTACTCTATGACTGAAGAAATACTTCCTAACATCCCTTTGATTCATCTGAGTCTTCAGCTTCCAATTGTGACCTCTTGTGTCTGTGTCCCTTCTCTGGAACATCCCGTCTTTGTCCACCTTGTCTATTCCGCGCAGTATTTTATATGTCGTTATCATGTCTCCCCTGACCCTCCTGTCCTCCAGTGTCGTCAGGCCGATTTCCCTCAACCTTTCTTCGTAGGACAATCCCCGTAGCTCTGGGACTAGTCTTGTTGCAAACCTTTGCACTTTCTCTAATTTCTTGACGTGCTTGACTAGGTGTGGATTCCAAACTGGTGCTGCATACTCCAGTATGGGCCTGACGTAAATGGTATACAGAGTCTTAAACGAATCCTTACTGAGGTATCGGAACGCTATCCGTAGGTTTGCCAGGCGCCCGTATGCTGCAGCAGTTATCTGATTGATGTGCGCCTCAGGGACTTGAACTGTGGTCTTGGCATGTAGAAGGCCCTAGCAGTACATCTGAGCCACAAAGTTTACGAATAGCAAGATTTCATTGACAGTGCTCGGTGTTATGCTCACCCCCAGATCTTTTTCCTTGAGTGAGGTTTGCAGTCTTTGGCCATCTAAACTATATTGTGTCTGCGGTCTTCTTTGCCCTTCCCCAATCTTCATGACTTTGCATTTGGCAGGGTTAAATTCAAGGAGCCAGTTGCTGGACCTGGCATGTAGCCTGTCCAGGTCTCTTTGTAGTCCTGCCTGATCCTCATCCGATTTGATTCTTCTCATTAACTTCGCATCATCTGCAAACAAGGACACTTCTGAGTCTATCCAAGAACAGCACAGGTCCTAGGACTGACCCCTGTGGAACCCCGCTTGTCACAGGCGCCCACTCTGACACTTCGTCGCGTACCATGACTCGTTGTTGCCTCCCTGTCAGGTATTCTCTGATCCATTGCAGTGCCTTTCCTGTTATGTGTGCCTGATCCTCTAGCTTTTGCAGTAACCTCTTGTGAGGAACTGTGTCGAAGGCCTTCTTGCAGTCCAAAAATATGCAGTCGATCCACCCCTCTCTCTCTTGTCTTACTTCTGTCACCTTGTCATAAAACTCTAGTAGGTTTGTGACACAGGATTTTCCTTCCCTGAAACCGTGCTGGTTGTCAATTATACACTTGTTTCTTTCCAGGTGCCCCACCACTCTCCTCCTGATATCTTCTCCATGACCTTGCATACTATACACGTTAGTGATACAGGTCTGTAGTTTAGTGCCTCATGTCTGTCTCCCTTTTTAAAAAATGGGACTACATTTTCCATTTTCCATACCTCAGGGAGTTGCCCAGTTTCAAATGATGTGTTGAAGATCTTTGTTAATGGCTCACACAATATCTCTGCTCCCTCTTTAAGGACCCGTGGAGAGATGTTGTCTTGTCCCACCGCCTTTGAGGTGTCAAGTTCGCATAGCAGCTTCTTCACCTCCTCCTTGGTTATATGTACCTCATCCAGCACTTGCTGGTGTGCCCCCCTTTCTGATTTCCTGGAGTCCTACTGCTTCCACTGTAAATACCTCTTTAAATTTTTGTGTTGAGCTCCTGCCCATACCTCTTGGTCTTTTTCTTGTGAATTTTCCCCATCACCCTTCCTCAGTCTGATTACCGGGTCCTTGACTGTTGTTTTCCTCCTGTTGTGGCTGTAAAAACAGCTTCGGGCCCAGTCTTTACTTTGATGCTATGTCATTTTCATATTGCTCTGAGCCTCCCTTTTTATCTGTGCATATTCGTTTCTGGCTCTTCGGCTGATTTCTTTATTTTCCTGAGTTTCTCTGTCTTCTGTACCTTTTCCATTCTCTAGTACACCTAGTTTTTGCCTCCCTACACCTTTGGTAAACCCAAAGGACTCGTTCTGTTCTTCCCATTATTTCTGTTTCCCTTTGGGGAACAAACCTCTCCTCTGCCTCCTTGAATTTTGTTGCTACATAGTCCATCATTTCTTGTACTGGTTTTCCTGTCATTTCCCCCTTCTCCCACTGAATGTCTTGAAGGAATTTTCCTCATGCCTGAGTAGTTCCCCCTTCTGTAGTTTGGTTTTTCCCACCTATTCCTGCTACTCTCTCCACTTGGAGCTCAACTATGTAGTCGAAGCACAGAACCACATGATCACTAGCTCCCAGGGGCCTTTCATACATAAATACCCTCGATGTCCGAACTACTCAGGGGTGAATACAAGGTCCACCTTGCTGGTTCATCCTCTCCTCTCTCTCTGGTAGTGTCTCAAAACATGTTGATGCATGAGGTTTCCAGTACCACATCCATCATCTTGGCTCTCCATGTTTCGGACCCCCATGGGGCTCCAGGTTTTTCCAGTCAATCTCCTTTGATTGAAATCACCAATAACTAGTAACTTTGCTCCCCCCATGTGTGCTCTCCTGGCCACCTCGGCTAGTGTTTTCGATCATTGCTCTGTTGCTCTCATCGTATTTTCTTGGCCTCCTGCAGTTCTGGGGTGGGTTGTACATTACTGCAATTATCACCTTATGTCCCTCAGACTGGATTGTTCCTACTAATTTCCCCTTTCGCCCATGCCATCCATTCCTTCCATTTTCTCAAAATCCCACTGGTTTTTAATGAGCAGTGCAACTCCTCCTCCCCCCTCTCCCCCTCTGTCTTTCCTGAGGATTTGGTATCCGGGTGGAAAGATTGAATCTGTTATTATTTGGTGAGTTTTGTTTCTGTGATGCTATTATGTCTGGGGAATGTCTCTTTGATTCTTTCGGGGCCACTCCTCATACTTGTTTGTTATTCCATCTGCATTTTATACCACACCTTCAACTTCTTTTCTAAGACTGTGGTCTGGGAGGGATATTGGGGGTTGGGGAAGTGGGGGGACCTGGTAAGGAACTATGGGTTGTTTGCTGTGGGGTGGGTTTTTTAATGTAGTGGGGGGGGGCATTGGATGTGGCATGAGTGTTTGGTTGCACTGGGGTTGACCTGGTTGGGAGGCTTCTATAGGAAGTTGTGAGGGAGGCTGTATTTGATCTTCTTCCTGGATCTGGGATCTCCTGTCTGTCTTCTCCATCCCCTCTCTTTCCTCCTTTCGCCTTTGTACCATCTCTCTCAGTTTCTGCCTTTCTTCTGTGTTGTGTTTTGTGTGTATGTGTGTGTTGGGGGGGGGGAGGAGGAGGAGGTAATATTAAGGGTTACTAATGTATGTTTGGGTTCTCTATTCCACAGTCATGTCCAGTTTCAGACTAAACATGCAGGAAAACTTGAAGCTGACCCGTGTCAGTCCTATCCAAAGTATAACTGTAAGAATCAATGAATGTATCCTAGCTGAGGTGTGTGATACTCATTACACGTGTCTTGCAGAACCTAGTAGTGACGGAGATCAGTGAGCTACAGTGGAATAGAACAGCTGGTCTGTGTGGTCGATGTGATGGTCATCCAGAGAACGACTGGAGCTACCCGGACGGCACTTCGGAGACCAACATTGACTCCTTCCTTCGCTCCTGGCAAGCCAACACTCTAGGCGGTTAGTGCATATAAACAGAGGCGGATCTGCTATGAAACTAATGGAGCTTAAGCTTCAGGGCCTCTAATCCCGGAGGAGCCCCTGAAGTCACTTTAGTCCATATTGCTTAAAAATTTTGGGTTCTCCTGTATGAGAAGAGGTTGTGAAGAGGCCTCCCCGTAAGAAAGGTTCCTTGACACTGGTGAGGGGCTCTTGATCTAGTGAACTGGATCTGTGCTCCAGTTCCCTGAATTAAGCCTGAATACCTTTCACATCCCCTCCCCCACATGCGCTGTATAATCCTACGGGTTTAGCGCTTCCCCTTGATTATAATATTTATGTTCAGGCTTCAGGGCCAAAGAAATGTAGATGTGCCACTGTATCATTGGCAGACATTTTAGAAGTAGTTTAGTGAAATGAGAGTCACAATATCGATGCTGGAATAATTTCTAGGAGTTATTTTTCTGGGATAACTCTGTGAGCGTAACATATCTAGTGTATGTAGCGTCATGCTGGTTGAATGTGGTGAGGGTCAGCAGAGAGCTTATAAATGGTGATTAACCTACACAGATATGCAAGTGAGTCACGAATGCTATATTAGGACATTTAATGGGAAGACTTTTCGCCCACCAGGAGTTTTTAACAACTTGCATGTATGCAATTCCTGGAGCAATGAATGAATGGAACACGTTAAGAAAATAGTGACGGTAAAATCAATGTATTTATACTTCATCTTCTACTTCTTCTTCTTCTTCTTCTTCTTCTTATTATTATTATTATTATTATTATTATTATTACTACTACTACTGCTACTTTATTATTGTTGTTGTAGTTCTTATTGTTTACATATTCCTGTCATAGTCTCCATTTTGAAGATAATTTGTATTTCATTACTATCACCACCTTGAGTCCACCACTAAGGCCTGAGCTTGCTACCATCTGCAGCTCATAAGACTGCCATCCCCACGAGCCTCTTCGAGGCGGGGTAGATGGCAGACCAGAGGCCTAGCTTCTCCCTACGAGCCCCGTGAGGGCGGGGAATGTGGCTAGGCCTGGGGACAGTTGGTTCCAAAGATGAGGAGGTACTTGTCCCTCCTCCCATGGGAGACTTAAGTCTCGAGACACTCCCCAGATAGGGAGCCAAGGCCGGGTCACCACTACTTGGAAAAGACCCGGGCCGGGAGAATACCGGCGAAAAAAAAAAAAAAAAAAAAAAAAAAAAAGAGTCCACCAGTTGAGTATACCTGTTATGTACACATTTGACTTCCCAATAGCAATGCTACACCTCTTCCTCCTCCTCTGTTTCGTCTGTCCTGTCTCATTATCTGATATCATGCTGGGAAGATTGCATCTGTTATCACCTCGCAAGCTTTGTCTCCATTAGTGCTACGATGTGTGGGGATGCCTCCACTATGTATTCGTTCCATTCACTCTTTATTTGTTATTTCATCTGACTTTTTTGGGTTATCCTATATTCTCTACACATATGCTGCTGTGTATGATAAACTATGTATGTAATTGTATTTGTGTATACCTGAATAAACTTACATTTGTATACCACACTCAGTTTCCTTTCTGTTACTGTGGTCTGGTTTCTGGTTCCTGTTCTGTTTCTTGCCTGTATGTCAGGGGAGTAGGTGAGATTGCAGAGGGAGGGAGAGGTTGACTCTTGCACTGGAAGAGGATGAGACCACGAATGTAGGTAGGTGAGGATGGGCATGGTGAGAAGCTGGGGGTAGGGGAGATTGGGGTTGGTATGGGGGTTGATTGGTTGGTTGGCTGGGTGTGAGAAAGGGTCCTACACTGGAGGGGGTTAGGAATGGGGGTGTTGTGGGGAGGATGAGATGGGAGGTAGAGTATAATTTGGTTTGGGAAGGAGATTGAGGCTTGAGGAATTATGTGTGTGTGTGTGTGTGTGTGTACTCACCTATATGTGGTTGCAAGTAAGTAAGTAAGTTTATTCAGGTATACACAAATACAGTTACATAGAATTATCATACATAGCAGCATATGTGTAGAGAACCTAGGATAACCCAAAAAAGTCAGACAGAGTGACTTATTTCCATTGGGGTCCTTTTACCTTATTATTATAATATAAAGGTTATAATATTTTCTTATTCTATAATGAAGATAACATCTTATTATCATACTAAAAAGATTATCTACTACACGAGGGTCATTAAGACTATCTACAATACGAGGGTCATTAAGACTATCTACAATACGAGGGTCATTACTAGGAATAAGGTAAAATTTACACGTATGTTAGCTAAAAAATAGAAAATCATTCCCCTCCCTTTCTGTAGCTACATTCATCAGACACCTTTTGGCACTCTTTTTGAACTGGTTCATGCTATGACTGGCTTTGACATGTGTGGGCAATCTGTTCCATTCCTTTATTGCTGTACAATAAAAGGTGTTTGAAGCCTGGCCAATGACTGTGGGTACTACAAAGTTGTGCTCTCTCCCCCTAGTACTATGATTGCTTTGGTTCCCAACCTTGACAAAATTGACAGCAAGATATTCTGGACACTGTTTGTGACAATTTTATAAACATGATTTAGCTTCAGTTGTTTTACTCTGTCTTCAACATTCAGCATATCCAACTGCTGTAATTCATTCTGGCCTACATGTTCTCTTGGTCCCAGCCCCAGGATGAATCTTACGATTTTGTTCTGGGTGACTTGCAGTCTATCTTTCAGTTTTTTTGTCAAGGCAGAGTACCATGAAGAGCAAGCGTAGTCCATATGGCATTGTATAAGGGCTAGACATAGGGTCCTGCGAGCCTCAGTAGGTAGACACTGTGCTTGTCTATACAGGAACTTCAGTCTGGCATTCGCTTTCTTCACTACACTGTTCCCTATCAATTCTCCTGACATGCATGGGTCAAAGGGGATTCCCAGATATTTTACTGATGAAACCAAAGTGATGGGCTCCCCATTACACTGGACAATAAAATTATTTACCTTTCTCAGTTTGTTTCGTGCCAAAGAGAATGGCTTCAGTTTTCCCGAGGTGTAATGATAGTTTGTTGTCTACTAACCATTTGCTGCAGGACTCCAGTTCCAGTGTTAAAACATTAGCTATATCTTGTGGGCCTTTACCTGACACTAACAGAGCACTGTCATCTGCATACAGTAGGAGTTTGCACTTGACACTGATAGGCATGTCATTGACATAACATAAGAATAATAAGAGACCCAGAATACTACCTTGGGGAACTCCACATGCTATCGGCAGGGGTTCTGATTCCGTTTTGTTGATTTTGACAATTTGTCTCCTGTTGCTAAGGTAGGACTTAAACCAGTCTACAGAACCTATACCGATAGCTTGAAGTTTCTTACATAATATGTTGTGGTTGACAGTATCGAAGGCCTTTTGCAGGTCTAGGGTTACCATACCTATGAGGTTCCCCTTTGACATTTCAGTTCTCAGGTAATCCATCAGATTAATTAGAGAGGTGTCGGTTGAGTAAGATCTTCTAAAGCCCGATTGATAGCTATGGAGAATGTTGTTGTCATTAAGGTACTTAACTATTTCAGAGTACACCGCCCTCTCTAGAATTTTGGATATTATACTGAGTATACTAACATGCCTATAGTTGCTTACATCAGACCTACTATTTTTCTTGAAGATAGGAGTAACTCTGGCCTCCTTGAACCCCTCCGGTACGGTATTAGTGGCGATTGATAGATTTATTATGTGAGCAATAGGGATTGACAGTTCAGAAGCACCATCTTTTAGGAACTTAGACGGGATGTTATCCGGGCCAGTGCTCTTAGTTGGGTTTAACCTGCTTTGTTCTTTTTGAATAAAGTCATGAGATACACTTACTAGTTGACAACTGTTTGGGGTTACCCCTTTATTGGTATAGTATGTTTGAAACTTATCAGAGTCTGTGTTAAAGGTATTTGATGCAGCTGGTAGTTTACTTACTAGTGTTGATGCAACAGATGTGTAGAAGGAATTAAAGCAATTTGCCACCTTAGATGTTTCGTGGCATACCTCGTTATCGATAGTGAGTACTATGTTAGACCTATCTACTGGCTTATGGCTATACCCCAACTGTTTTAGTTGTTGCCAGAGCTTTCTGGGGTTATGCTTATACTCTTCAATTTTTGAGCAGTAGTGCTTTGCCTTTGCTCCTTTTATAAGTCTCTGCACTCTGTTCCTCACCCTTTGGAATTCATTTAGTGCTGCAATATCCTGTCTGTTTGCTTTAAATCTTTTTAGCAGCTGGTCTCTGAATTTCATATTATCTAATACCTCAGTAGTCATCCAGGGTTCAGTTCTTCGTTTAATCCTAACCCCTTTAACTGGTGCAATATTATCAAGGATGATAGTGAACATTGTTCAGTACCTGGCTCCGCCTCTTCGCTGGTCGCTACCAAGTTCACTCTCTTCCATGAGCTTTATCGTATCTCTTCTTAAAACTATGTAGGGATCCTGCCTCCACTACATCACTCTCCGGATTATTCCACTTCCTGACAACTCTTTGGCTGAAGAAATACTTCCTAACATCCCTGTGACTAATCTGAGTTTTCACTTTCCAGTTGTGACCCCTTGTTGCTGTTTCCCATCTCTGAAACACTATCCCTTTCCACCTTTTCAATTTATCACAGTATTTTGTATGTCGGTATCACGTGTGTCTTCTCACTTAAGTGTGGTTGCAGAGGTCGAGTAATAGCTCCTGTTAGTTACCATTTTGTCCTAGGCACATGTCGATTAGACACTAGGCCTGTTGTAGTGCATGTGTGTGTGCATGTGTGTGTGCATGTGTGTGTGCATGTGTGTGTGCATGTGTGTGTGCATGTGTGTGTGTGTGTGTGTGTGTGTGTGTACTCACCTATTTGTGGTTGCAGGGGTCGAGTCATAGCTCCTGGCCCCGCCTCTTCACTGATTGCTACTAGGTGCTCTCCCTGCCCCATGAGCTTTATCAAACCTCGTCTTAAAGCTATGTATGGTTCCCGCCTCCACTACGTCACTTTCTAGGCTATTCCACTTCCTGACAACTCTATGACTGAAGAAATACTTCCTAACATCCCTTTGATTCATCTGAGTCTTCAACTTCCAATTGTGACCTCTTGTTTCTGTGTCCCCTCTCTGGAACATCCCGTCTTTGTCCACCTTGCCTATACACAAATAACCCGCACATAAAAGAGAGAAGCTTACGACGACGTTTCGGTCCGACTTGGACCATTGACAAAGTTACAGTGTGACTTTGTCAATGGTCCAAGTCGGATCGAAACGTCGTCGTAAGCTTCTCTCTTTTATGTGCGGGTTATTTGTGTATTGTTCCAGTCACGGTATTGTGCCTTTTTTGTTATTTACACCTTGCCTATTCCGCGCAGTATTTTATATGTCGTTATCATGTCTCCCCTGGCCCTCTCTCCTGTCATCCAGTGTCGTCAGGCCGATTTCCCTCAACCTTTCTTCATAGGACATTACCCTTGTGTGTGTGTGTGTGTATGTGTGTGTGTGTATGTTTGTGTGTATGTGTGTGTATGTGTGTGTATGTGTGTGTGTATGTGTGTGTTGTATGTGTGTGTGTATGTGTGTGTATGTGTGTGTGTATGTGTGTGTGTGTGTATGTGTGTGTGTGTGTGTATGTGTGTGTGTGTGTATGTGTGTGTGTATGTGTGTGTGTGTGTATGTGTGTGTGTATGTGTGTGTGTATGTGTGTGTGTATGTGTGTGTGTATGTGTGTGTGTATGTGTGTGTGTATGTGTGTGTGTGTGTGTGTATGTGTGTGTGTGTGTGTATGTGTGTGTGTGTGTGTGTGTGTGTGTGTGTGTGTGTGTGTATGTGTGTGTGTGTGTGTGTGTGTGTGTGTGTGTGTGTGTGTGTGTGTGTGTGTGTGTGTGTGTGTGTGTGTGTGTGTGTTGTGTTGTGTGTGTACTCTTGCCCTGCTCTCAGTTTGCTTCTTGCCAGATTCACTCTCCTAGCCTCGTGGGCCTTATTATTCTTATTCTTAAAACTTCTTCATCGAGATCATTCCGCTTCCTGAACGCCTTGTAACTGAAGAAATACTTCCTGACATCCCTGTGATTCATTTGTGTCTTCATCTTCCCGCTGTGCCCCCGAGTACCTATTTCCCGCCTCTGAAACAGCCTGTACCTGTCTTATTAGTTCCTTTGAGCATTTTGTATATTGTTATCATGTCTTCCCTGGTTCTTCTGTGTACTCACCTAGTTGTACTCACCTAGTTGAGGTTGCGGGGGTCGAGTCCGAGCTCCTGGCCCCGCCTCTTCACTGATCGCTACTAGGTCACTCTCCCTGAGCCGTGAGCTTTATCATACCTCTGCTTAAAGCTATGTATGGATCCTGCCTCCACTACATCGCTTCCCAAACTATTCCACTTACTGACTACTCTGTGGCTGAAGAAATACTTCCTAACATCCCTGTGATTCATCTGTGTCTTCAGCTTCCAACTGTGTCCCCTTGTTACTGTGTCCAATCTCTGGAACATCCTGTCTTTATCCACCTTGTCAATTCCTCTCAGTATTTTGTATGTCGTTATCATGTCCCCCCTATCTCTCCTGTCCTCCAGTGTCGTCAGGTTGATTTCCCTTAACCTCTCCTCGTAGGACATACCTCTTAGCTCTGGACTAGTCTTGTTGCAAACTTTGCACTTTCTCTAGTTTCTTTACGTGCTTGGCTAGGTGTGGGTTCCAAACTAGTGCCGCATACTCCAATATGGGCCTAACGTATACGGTGTACAGGGTCCTGAACGATTCCTTATTAAGATGTCGGAATGCTGTTCTGAGGTTTGCTAGGCGCCCATATGCTGCAGCAGTTATTTGGTTGATGTGCGCTTCAGGTGATGTGCCTGGTGTTATACTCACCCCAAGATCTTTTTCCTTGAGTGAGGTTTGTAGTCTCTGACCCCCTAGACTGTACTCCGTCTGCGGCCTTCTTTGCCCTTCCCCAATCTTCATGACTTTGCACTTGGTGGGATTGAACTCCAGGAGCCAATTGCTGGACCAGGTCTGCAGCCTGTCCAGATCCCTTTGTAGTTCTGCCTGGTCTTCGATCGAGTGTATTCTTCTCATCAACTTCACGTCATCTGCACGTCATCTGTGTGTGTGTGTATGTGTGTATGTGTGTGTGTATGTGTGTGTGTGTGTGTATGTGTGTGTGTGTGTGTGTGTGTGTGTGTGTGTGTGTGTGTGTGTGTGTGTTTATGAATTAATATGCATGTGCATGTCTATGTTACATGTGTTAAGACGGTGCATGCCTGTGTACGTAATACACGAGTACAGTGATGTGCAGCTGACCGAGTTGTCTGAATTGGTGCATCATACACATTTATTGAAGACATTATTGTCCCAGCAGAAGTGTGCCTTCAAGAACCTACAACGAGGCTTCCGTGCAAGAGTTTTCCTGAGGCTTATAAAGCTGATGACTTCTGCTCTCAACTACGTACTGACCCCAAGTTCAGGTGGTGTCGTCAGGTGAGCTGCTGCTTCCAATTAATTCTCATCCTCTTGCATTATTATTATATTTATGAAGTAGCACTAAGTCCGTAGGGCTCATATAGAGCCTGGGTATTAGAGGTAATAAGATTTGACCCAAGAAAGAGGAAAGTAATTTCATTTCCTTGCATCAAGAGCCCTTCACCAGCATCAGGACATCCTCATGGAATAGAGGCTTCAGGGATATGTTTCCTCACTGCCTCGAGTCTGAGGGAAATATTTTCCTTCTCTTGTTGCTGGTTTATTCGTAATGTCGTTTATCATATAAGGAGCCGCTCATTGGCTCCTTAATAAATAATGATTAACATACCTGGTGTCTATTTTGTAAGTAGGACTCTCGTGTCTGAAGAGTAGACTTATGGTCACAAAAGATTTCCCTTCCTGTGTTTTATAGTATTCTGGTTGTGAGTTTCAGTGTTACAATCAACATTGTTGTGACAACTCACAAATTTGAAGAGGAAGTAAAATGAGGTTTTGGTTCGTCCTTTACCATTATCAAGTCGTTAGTGGGTCATTATTATATTATATATTATATATAAAAAGCTTAATTTCCATTTTATGAATTAGTTGTGACTTGCTCTTAGAAAAAAAATGTGTGCAGGTGGTAGACGTGGAGGCGTACATCAGCGCGTGTCGCTGGGACTACTGTGCCTGTGAGGCCCAGGATAGGGAGACGTGTGCCTGTGAAACTTTCGCTGCCTTCAAGAGGGAATGTGTGTGGACTGGGGTAGACATCCCGGGGGAGTGGCGCTCACGTAACTTCTGCCGTAAGTTTGAACTAGTGTCCTGTATAGTGTTTTTAGTGGACTATTTGCCCAACATCTTCTGTTTGAGTACTTTTTTTGTGTTGTGAAAACTTATTTCAGCCTTTGAATATTACTGAATTTTAAACGAGAAAAGTTTCCTTAATTGTTCTTGTTTTTGACTATTTTGCATGTATCAGATATTTGTAAAGAATATTCCATAGCTGTTCCAGGTGTCGTGTGTGTGCACCTGGAGATTTGTAACTCAGTGTATATACTATGAGTTTACTTTAAATCCCTATTTTAGGAATTAAAGTATTTTTGATTGATAATATAAGAAGTGAAAATTAGCCTTCCTGGCCTTCGTACAGTCAACTGGGTTTAAATCTAACAAAACAACCATCATGATGCCACCAGCGATGAAGTGTGAAGAAGGTATGGTCTACAATCCATGTATGCCAGCTATTCAGCCTCGATGTGGTCAGGCCGTGGAGAGTGTGCATCCTGCCTTCTGCGTGGAGGGCTGCGACTGCCCTCCAGGCTTGGTGATCCACGAAGGACGCTGCATCCCCAAGCAAGACTGTCCCTGCACACACCACAACAAAGAGTACAACTTCGGCGACATCATCACCAGTGACTGCAATACATGGTTAGTGTCCTCGCGAAAGATGTTTACCCTGTAACAGTGTCCTAGTTGTTGAAAGACTTTAGCATGTAAAGGATGGTACAACCTGAACACCTTACCATATATATCCAAGAGCTATTTGGACAGGCATCTGCACTTCCTCTGAAGCTATCATTCTCTTGTTGGAGATAAATGGTATAAAATGCCGACATGGGAAAATAGACAAAAATGCAGTATTATTTGATCTTTTATTGTCTACGTTTCGCCCACACAGTAGACTCTGTCATGTCGCAAACATATCAGTTTGGGCGACAAAGAGTACATGAGTATATATAGGATGAAGAGTCAGGTGGATAATGTTGAGGAAATTGTATTTGAGACGGACCTGCAAGCCCATCTCAAATCCAACTTCATTATCTTACATACTATAGGTATGCATGGCAGTGTTCTGCTTGTGGTTCAAGTTGGTGATATTAGATGTACTTCACGTGTTATAATACTGCACACTGACTGCATCTGCAACACGAGGACCTATTGCAACTACTCAAAAATTTCACTTGTTCGTCGAAGGTCCTGAATTTCACTTTAGGCTTTGTAAAGTGTTATCAGTTTGTAAACTTCACAGAATGAAGCTTCAAGGTTTACATTGAAAGTTTCTCCCTGTATCATATATGAGAATTTTCATTTTTTCATGTTTATTTTCCAGGTAATAAGTTCATTGTCATGTACTCTTAATGAAAATAAATCTTATTGTCTCATTTACAGTTGTGTAAATTCAGAATGATGGCAAATGAGACATGTGCTATTAATAATAATTAAATTGATCTAAATTAAATTTTTGCCCATTAGTTCTTTAAATATGTGCAGATGATGATCTAGAATAGTAGTTCTTATGGCATTTGCAGTTTGTTTATATAACGTGTCTAGGAAGAGTAGGTGTGTAACGGAGAGGAAGTATATAAATCCTTATATTAATTACATCTTGTTATGTAAATGGGCACAGATGCACTAATGTTGCCGCAATAAAATGTCACTTGAGTTGCATCTGTGTCCATTTACCTAACATTCTGTCGGCAATTTTACCATTATTACTAATAATTACATGTTGCCCACAGCACATGTCAGGGAGGAGAGTGGGTGTGTACCGAGGACAAGTGTGGCTCTCGCTGTGGTGCTGTGGGTGACCCTCATTACATGACTTTTGACGGCCGTCACTTTGACTTCATGGGCAAGTGTTCTTATTACCTAGTGAAGGGGCATGACTTCAGCATCGAGGCCGAGAACACACCGTGTAGTGGAACTATCTCAGAGGTGAGTATCCATCACTCTTATGTTGAGTCAAATGATTGGCAGAGAGCGTGCATAATTCCCCTGTACATATAAGGGAAAAGGGGATAAAAGAAAAAGTAAGAATTATAGGGGATTAACCTGTTGAGTATACCACATATAGTCTACTGTAAAATTATTATTGAAAGGGTTAGGTGTAAGACAGAAAGTAGGATTGTAAAAGAGCAACAAGGATTTGGGAAGGGTAGGGTATGTGTAGATCAAGTGTTGACTGAAGTATATAAGTAAATAAGTCACATTTCCAGTCAGATTAGAACTTAGAATACGTACAGCCTCTCAGATCTGCCAGTTAGACTTAAACAGCTTACCCAACCTGAGGGTGAAAGTGTATCTTTTTCGGGTCACCCTGCCTCGGTGGGAGACAGCCAGCGTGTACAATGTTTGCACTTTAAAGGAGTGGTTTGGGTTATTGGCAGTTTAGAGGGACATCTAAACTGTCGTATCTGAGCGCCTCTGCAAAGACAGTGATTATGTACGAGTGATGGTGAAAGTGTTGAATGAAAATTTTATATATATAATATATATATATAATATATATTTTATATATATATATATATATATATATATATATAATATATATATAATATATATATATATATATATATATTGGGAAGATGGAGGGAATATTTTTTAGGAATTGTGAAATGTTGATGAAGATAGGGAAGCTGTGATTTCGTGTATAGGGCAAGGAGGAATAACATCTTGTAGGAGTGAGGAAGAGCCAGTTGTGAGGGGGGGGAAGTTCGTGAGGCAGTAGGTAAAATGAAAGGGGTAAGGCAGCCGGATTGATGGGATAAAAAATAGAAATGTTAAAAGCAGGTGGGGATATAGTTTTGGAGTGGTTGGTGCAATATTTAATAAATGTATGGAAGAGGTAAGGTTACCTAGGATTTGGCAGAGAGCATCATATTTCCTTTGTATAAAGACAAAGGGGATAAAAGAGAGTGCAAAAATTATAGGGGGATAAGTCCCGCTGAGTATACCTGGTAAAGTGTATGGTAGAGTTATTATTTAAAGAATTAAGAGTAAGACGAGAATAGGATAGCAGATGAACAAGGAGGCTTTAGGAAAGGTAGGGGTGTGTGGACCAGGTGTTTACAGTGAAACATATAAGTGAACATATTTAGATAAGGCTAAAGAGGTCTTTGTGGCATTTATGGATTTGGAAAAGGCGTATGACAGGGTGGATAGGAGGGCAATGTGGCAGATTTGCAAGTGTAGGTGTAGGAGTAGGTTACTGAAAGCAGTGAAGAGTTTTTACGAGGTTTGTGAGGGTCAAGTTAGAGTATGTAGGAAAGAGGGAAATTATTTCCCAGTAAAAGTAGGCCTTAGACAAGGATGTGTGATGTCACCGTGGTTGTTTTAAAAATTTATAAGATGGGGTTGTAAGAGAAGTAAATGCGGGGGTCTTGACAAGAGGCGTGGAGTTAAAAGATAAAGAATCACACACAAAGTGGGAGTTGCACAGCTGCTCTTTGCTGATGACACTGTGCTCTTGGGAGATTCTGAAGAAAGTTGCAGAGATTGGTGGATGAATTTGGGGAGGTGTGCAAAAGAAGAAAATTAAAGGTGAATACAGAAAAGAGTAAGGTTATGAGGATAACAAAAAGATTTGGTGATGAAAGATTTAATATCAGATTGGAGGGAGAGAGTATGGAGGAGGTGAATGTATCAGATATTTGGGGGTGGACGTGTCAGCAGATGGGTCTATGAAAGATGAGTGAATCATAAAATTGATGAGGGGAAAAAGAGGGAGGTGCACTTAGGAGTCTGTGGAGACAAAGAACTTTGTCCTTGGAGGCAAAGAGGGGAATGTATGAGAGTATAGTTTTACCAACGCTCTTATATGGGGGTGAAGCATGGGTGATGAATGTTTCAGCGAGGAGAAGGCTGGAGGCATGGAGATGTCATGTCTGAGGGCAATGTGTGGTGTGAATATAATGCAAAAATTCGTAGTTTGGAAGTTAGGAGGAGGTGCGGGATTACCAAAACTGGTTTTCCAGAGGGCTGAGGGAAAGGGGTTTTTGAGGTGGTTCGGGCATGTAGAGAGAATGGAGCGAACAGAATGACTTCAAGAGTGTATCATCTGTAGTGGAAGGAAGGCGGGGTAGGGGTCGGCTTAGGAAAGGTTGGAGAGGGGGGGAAAGGAGGTTTGTGTGCGAGGGGCTTGGACTTCCAGCAGGTATGCATGAAACGTGTTTGATAGGAGTGAATGGAGACAAATGGTTTTAATACTTGACGTGCTGTTGGAGTGTGACAAGTAACATTTATGAAGGGTTCAGGAAACCGGGAAAACCCGGGCTTGAGTCCTGGAGATGGGAAGTACAGTGCCTGCCTCTGAAGGAGGGTGTTAATGTTGCAGTTTAAAAACTGTAGTGTAAGCACCCTTTTGGCAAGACAGTGATGGAGTGAATGATGGTGAAAGTTTTTTTTTTCGGGCCAACCCCGCCTTGGTGGAATCGGCCAGTGTGATAATAAAAAAAAATAATAAATAAAATAATATATATAATATATATAATATATTTTATATATATATATAATATATATAAATATACATATATATAAAATATATATATATATATATAAAATATATATAAATTTTATATTTTATATATATATATTTAAAATATATGTATGTATGTATATATATATATATATATATAAATATTTTTATATAAATAAATATATATATATAAAATATATAATATATATATTTTATTATAAAAAAATATATATATATTCAACAAGTCGGCCGTCTCCACCGGGCAGGGTGACCCAAAAAAAGAAAGAAAAACCCCAAAAAGAAAATACTTTCATCATCATTCAACACTTTCACCACACTCGCACATTATCACTGTTTTTGCAGAGGTGCCCAAATACAACAGTTTAGAAGCATACACAATAAAGATACACAACATATCCCTCCAAACTGCCAATATCCCAAACCCCTCCTTTAAAGTGCAGGCATTGTAAATTCCCATTTCCGGACTCAAGTCCGACTATGAAAATAACCGGTTTCCCTGAATCCCTTTCACTAAATATTACCCTGCTCACACTCCAACTGATCGTCAGGTCCCAAGTACCATTCGTCTCCATTCACTCCTATCTAACACGCTCACGCACGCTTGCTGGAAGTCCAAGCCCCTTGCCCACAAAACCTCCTTTACCCCCTCTCTCCAACCCTTTCGAGGACGACCCCTACCCCGCCTTCCTTCCCCTATAGATTTATATGCTTTCCATGTCATTCTACTTTGATCCATTCTCTCTAAATGACCAAACCACCTCAACAACCCCTCTTCTGCCCTCTGATTAATACATTTATTAACTCCACACCTTTTAATAATTTCCACACTCCGAATTTTCTGCATAATATTTACACCACACATTGTCCTTAAACAGGACATCTCCACTGCCTCCAACCGTCTCCTCGCTGCTGCATTTACCACCCAAGCTTCACACCCATATAAGAGTGTTGGTACTACTGTACTTTCATACATTCCCTTCTTTGCCTCCATAGATAACGTTTTTTGACTCCACATATACCTCAATGCACCACTCACCTTTTTTCCCTCATCAATTCTATGATTAACCTCATCCTTCATAAATCCATCCGCCGACACATCAACTCCCAAGTATCTGAAAACATTCACTTCTTCCATACTCCTCCTCCCCAATTTGATATCCAATTTTTCTTTATCTAAATCATTTGACACCCTCATCACCTTACTCTTTTCTATGTTCACTTTCAACTTTCTACCTTTACACACATTCTCAAACTCATCCATTAACCTTTGCAATTTTTCTTTAGAATCTCCCATAAGCACAGTATCATCAGCAAAAAGTAACTGTATCAATTTCCATTTTGAATTTGATTCCGCAAAATTTAATCCCACCCCTCTCCCGAACACCCTAGCATTTACTTCCTTTACAACCCCATCTATAAATATATTAAACAACCATGGTGACATTACACATCCCTGTCTAAAACCTACTTTTACCGGGAAGTAGTCTCCCTCTCTTCTACACACCCTAACCTGAGCCTCACTATCCTCATAAAAACTCTTTACAGCATTTAATAACTTACCACCTATTCCATAATATACTTGCAACATCTGCCACATTGCTTCTTTATCCACTCTATCATATGCCTTTTCTAAATCCATAAATGCAATGAAAACTTCCCTACCTTTATCTAAATACTGTTCACATATATGCTTTAATGTAAACACTTGATCTACACATCCCCTACCCACTCTGAAACCTCCTTGCTCATCCGCAATCCTACATTCTGTCTTACCTCTAATTCTTTCAATTATAACCCTACCGTACACTTTTCCTGGTAAACTCAGTAACTTATTCCTCTATAATTTTTACAGTCTCTTTTGTCCCCTTTCCCTTTATATAAAGGGACTATACATGCTCTCCGCCAATCCCTAGGTACCTTCCCCTCTATCATACATTTATTAAACAAAAGTACCAACCACTCCAACACTATATCCCCCCCTGCTTTTAACATTTCTGTCATGATCCCATCAGTTCCAGCTGCTTTAACCCTTTCATTTTACGTAATGCCTCACGTACCTCCCCCACACTTACATTCTGCTCTTCTTCACTCCTAAAAGATGGTATACCTCCCTGACCAGTGCATGAAATTACTGCCTCTGTTTCTTCCTTAACATTTAAAAGTTCCTCAAAATATTCTCGCCGTCTACCTAATACCTCCATCTCCCCATCTACTAACTCCCCTACTCTGTTTTTAACTGACAAATCCATACTTTCCCTAGGCTTTCTTAACTTGTTTAACTCACTCCAAAATTTGTTCTTATTTTCATTAAAATTTCTTGACAGTGCCTCTCCCACTCTATCATCTGCTCTCCTTTGCACTCTCTCACCACTCTCTTTACCTTTCTTTTACTCTCCCATATACTCTGCTCTTCTTATAACACTTCTGCTTTGTAAAAACCTCTCATAAGCTACCTTTTTCTCTTTTATCACACCCTTTACTTCATTCCACCAATCACTCCTCTTTCCTACTGCCGTCACGCTCCTATAACCACAAACTTCTGCCCCACATTCTAATACTGCATTTTTAAAACTACTCCAACCCTCTTCAACCCCCCCACTACTCATCTTTGCACTAGCCCACCTTTCTGCCAATAGTCGCTTATATCTCACCCGAACTTCCTCCTCCCTTAGTTTATACATTTTCACCTCCCTCTTACTTGTTGTTCCCACCTTCCTCTTTTCCCATCTACCTCTTACTCTAACTGTAGCTACAACTAAATAATGAACCGATATATCAATTGCCCCTCTATAAACATGTACATCCTGGAGCCTACCCATCAACCTTTTATCCACCAATACATAATCTAATAAACTACTTTCATTACGTGCTACATCATACCTTGTATATTTATTTATCCTCTTTTTCATAAAATATGTATTACTTATTACCAAATCTATTTCTACACATAGCTCAATTAAAGGCTCCCCATTTACATTTACCCCTGGCACCCCAAATTTACCTACTACTCCCTCCATAACATTTTTACCCACTTTAGCATTGAAATCCCCAACCACCATTACTCTAACACTTGATTCAAAACTCTCCATGCATTCACTCAACATTTCCCAAAATCTCTCTCTTATTATAACCCACTTTTCACATCCAATCTTTATTTTACTCCACATAATCCTTGAATTAATACATTTATAGTCGCTCTTTTCCTGCCATAGCTTATCCTTCAACATTATTGCTACTCCTGTAGCTCTAACTCTATTTGAAACCCCTGACCTAATCCCATTTATTCCTCTCCACTGAAACTCTCCCACACCCTTCAGCTTTGTTTCACTTAAAGCTTGGGTGGTAAATGCAGCAGCGAGGAGACGGTTGGAGGCAGTGGAGATGTCCTGTCTAAGGGCAATGTGTGGTGTAAATATGCAGAAAATTCGGAGTGTGGAAATTAGGAAAAGGTGTGGAGTTAATAAAAGTATTAGGCAGAGGGCAGAAGAGGGGTTGTTGAGGTGGTTTGGTCATTTAGAGAGAATGGATCAAAGTAGAATGACATGGAAAGCATATAAATCTATAGGGGAAGGAAGGCGAGGTAGGGGTCGTCCTCGAAAGGGTTGGAGAGAGGGGGTAAAGGAGGTTTTGTGGGCAAGGGGCTTGGACTTCCAGCAGGCGTGCATGAGCGTGTTCGATAGGAGTGAATGGAGACGAATGGTATTTTAGACCTGATGATCTGTTGGAGTGTGAGCAGGGTAATATTTAGTGAAGGGATTCAGGGAAACCGGTTATTTTTATATAGCTGGACTTGAGTCCTGGAAATGGGAAGTACAATGCCTTCACTCTAAAGGAGGGGTTCGGGATATTGGCAGTTTGGAGGGATATGTTGTGTATCTTTATACGTTTAAGCTTCTAAACTGTTGTGTTCTGTGCACCTCTGCAAAAACAGTGATTATGTGTGAGTGAGGTGAAAGTGTTGAATGATGATGAAAGTATTTTCTTTTTGGGGATTTTCTTTCTTTTTGGGTCACCCTGCCATCTCCCACTGACACAGGGTGACCCAAAAAGAAAGAAAATCCCCAAAAAGAAAACACTTTCATCATCATTCAACAATTTCACTTCACTCACACATAATCACTGTTTTTGCAGATGTGCTCAGAATACAACAGTTTAGAAGTATATACGTATAAAAATACACAATATATCCCTCCAAACTGCCAATATCCCAAACCCCTCCATTAAAGTGCAGGCATTGTACTTCCCATTTCCAGGACTCAAGTCCGGCTAAATCTATAATAACCGGTTTCCCTGAATCCCTTCACTAAATATTACCCTGCTCACACTCCAACAGATCATCAGGTCTAAAATACCATTCGTCTCTATTCACTCCTATCTAACACGCTCACGCACGCTTGCTGGAAGTCCAAGTCCCTCGCCTACAAATCCTTCTTTACCCCCTTCCTCCAACCTTTCGAGGACGACCTCTACCCCGCCTTCCTTCCCCTATAGATTTATACGCTCTCCAAGTCATTCTACTTTGGTCCATTCTCTCTAAATGGCCAAACCACCTCAACAACCCCTCTTCAGCCCTCTGACTAATACTTTTATTACACCACACATTGCCCTCAGACAGGACATCTCCACTGCCTCCAGCCGCCTCCTCGCTGCAGCATTTACAACCCAAGCTTCACACCTATATAAGAGTGTTGGTACCACTATACTCTCGTACATTCCCTTATTTGCCTCCATGGATAACGTTTTTTGTCTCCACAGATACCTCAAAGTACCACTCACCTTTTTTCCTTCATCATTTCTATGGTAAACCTCGTCCTTCATAAACCCATCTGCTGACAAGTCAACTCCCAAATATCTGTACACATTCACTTCTTCCATACTCCTTCCTTCTAATGTGATATCCATTTTTTATCTAAATCTTTTAATACCCTCATCACCTTACTCTTATGTATGCTCACATTCAACTTTCTACCTTCACACACACTCCCCAACTCGTCCACTAACCTTAGCAACTTTTCTTTAGAATCTCCCATAAGCACCGTATCATCAGCAAAATGTAAATGTGTCAACTCCAATTTTGTATTTGATTCCCCATAATTTAATCCCACCCCTCTCCCCAACACCCTAGCATTTACTTCTTTTACAATCCCGTGTATAAATATGTTAAACAACCATGGTGACATTACACATCCCTGTCTAAGACCTACTTTTACTAGGAAGTAGTCTCCGTCTCTTCTACACACCCTAACCTGAGCCTCACTATACTCATAAAAACTCTTTACAGCATTTAGTAACTTACTACTTATTCCATAAACTTGAAACATCTGCCATATTGCTCCCCTATCCACCCTGTCATATGCCTTTTCTAAATGAATAAATGCAATGAAAACTTCCGACGTGGGAAGTACAATGCCTGTACTTTATAGGAGGGTTTGGGATACTGGCTGTTTGGAGTGGTCATCTAAACTGTTGTATCCGAGCACCTCTACAAAGACGGTTAGTTACCACTCTGTCCCAGGCACATGTCGATTAGACACTTGGCCTGTTGTATGTGTGTGCGTGCGTGCGGTGATTATTTATGAATGATCGTGAAAATGTGTTGAACGATGATGATAGTTTTTTGGGGGTTTTTGGGTTTTTATTTTTTTATTTTTCAGTTTGAATTAGTGGTGAATTACTTAACGTTCGTTGATTATTTTTGTAAGAATGTGAGTTAAGGCATCTTCATCCTCTTACAGAGTATGAACTTCCCAGAGTCTGTGGCGAATCATTTGCCCTCGTGCACTAAGTCAGTGACGGTGCGGGTGGAGAACACTGTCATCCACCTCAAGCAGAATAAAGAGGTCATAGTTGATGGTAATGAACTCCGGCACATCCCTGCCTGGGTTCCTGGTGCTTACATCAAGGCTCCTTCCAGTCTCTTTATCATGGGTAATAAAATATTTCGTTTTACTACATGCGGGTCATATTTGCAAAAGCTTAGGTATAATGTTTGTTAGGAAACATGACAAGTGTTTCCTGACGCGGGTCTTAGTCATGATGACCCACAGCTGGAACTTTTGGTCATCTGACCGAGGCCTTCCGCTGACTTACCCCTCCACTTATTTAAACATCATAGTTATGATTGTAACCATTAGGAGTACTTAGTAATGTAAGTTTTGTATTGTCTGTTTATACTATGTTAATACTGATGCACAATATTAAGTAAATTATACATTATATATTGTAAAATATTTTATGTTACTTTATGGAGGTCATTGGTTTGTGACATAATTTTAAACACGAATTTTATATGTAAAGATACAAAGTAATAATATAAACTACAAGAATAACCAGCTGGAGGTCTTTAATTAATGACGAAGGTTACTCCTTCGAACACTTTTGTAGAGAACTTGATATAACCTGGAAAACCTTCCATCGCATCTATGATGTGCTCTGTTTTTTGCATGACGTACTGGTAGCCAGCACAAGACTGCTCCAGTGACTTGACTTAAGAAATCGTAATGACACGATTGCAAATAAACCATACCCCCGGCCGGGATTGAACCCGCGGTCATAGAGTCTCCAGTGAACGAAAACTTTACCGTGACTCGCGCCAAGATATTTTTATTTATCTTTTCATACCAAACAAATTGCCGCCACATAGTAGATTTATTATGTATTTTTATTTTCGGGATTTAGATTACGTAAGTTACATTGCTTATTATTTATTACATATTTCTTTTATTCTGCAAAACAAGGACATGAAGGCAAAATTGGCACTAATAACACAACTTTCTTTGGTCACCAAGTTTGTAAACCAAACTTTGTCTTCAGAAAAAAACTTAGTCACCAAGCGAAAGTGTCTTATAAATGTGTTCATTATGTCTTTGTCCGTATGCTGAAGTCGTCCTCAGTGAGAGGCAGAAATGTATAATACTCCTCTTCTTTGTTACTGTTTTTAAATGGGTTCGTTTATGGCACTAATCAGTATATATTACTTGATAAAGGCAACCGAAACAGTGTTAGTCTGCCAATACTCGTCTCGTTGCCTTTTCCATCAGTTTATTGACCATTTTTCATTTGAATATGTGCTTAGGTTAAACGTACATGGTGTTTCATTCGTCGGAGGCCCCGAGTTGGTACTCTTGTAATTACAACTGTCTTGTTTGTATATTGTCTGCAGTAAACGATAACTTGGGTCCTCCTTCGAGTAGGAGTACCAACTCGGAGCCTCCTACGAATGAAACACCTTGTATTTCTTGGTGAGTAATCTAACTAAATGTCTCAGTTGAGTTGAGTAACGGCCTAGATGTGTGGTGGGATGGTCAGACTCGTGTGTACATAGACGCACCAGCAGAGTTCCGTGGCATGACACAGGGTCTGTGTGGAACCTTCACTGACAACCAACGTGATGACTTCCTCACACCTGAGAAAGACATTGAACAGAGTGCCATTGCTTTTGCTAACAAGTGGAAGACTTCCGAGGTTGGTAAATTAATTTCTTGTGCGGCTGAATTTATAAGCTATGAGTTGTTTTCCTTCCTTGATTCATTTTAAACTCTGTGTTGCAAGCTCTCGAAGCCTCCATTGGGTCTGAGTTAGAAATACTACTTCGGGTCACCTCAAGAATCGTCCTTTCCCCTCAAAATATAAAATATGCAAATTTCTAGAGGTTATGCATATTACAGTATTTTATGTTCTCTTAATATACCAGGGTAAAGTTGTTAAGTCAGTTGTCATTCACAAGTAAAATTTTTATAAAAAAAAAGCAAAACTAGTTTTCCCTGCTCTATTGATGAGGTATATGACTCTTTTTTTTTTTTTTTTTTTTTCAACAAGTCGGCCGTCTCCCACCGAGGCAGGGTGACAGACGGCCGACTTGTTGAAAAAAAAAAAAAAAAAAAAAAAAAAAAAAAAAAAAATATATATATATATGACTCAAAATATATATATATATATATATATATATATATATATATATATATATATATATATATATATATATATATATATATATATTTTTTTTTTTCAACAAGTCGGTCGTCTCCCACCGAGGCAGGGTGACCCAAAAAAGAAAGAAAATCCCAAAAAAGAAAATACTTTCATCATCATTCAACACTTTCACCACACTCGCACATTATCACTGTTTTTGCAGAGGTGCTCAGAATACAACAGTTTAGAAGCATATACATATAAAGATACACAACATATCCCTCCAAACTGCCAATATCCCAAACCCCTCCTTTAAAGTGCAGGCATTGTACTTCCCATTTCCAGGACTCAAGTCCGACTATAAGAAAATAACCGGTTTCCCTGAATCCCTTCACTAAATATTACCCTGCTCACACTCCAACAGATCGTCAGGTCCCAAGTATCGTTCGTCTCCATTCACTCCTATCTAACACGCACATGCACGCCTGCTGGAAGTCCAAGCCCCTTGCCCACAAAACCTCCTTTACCCCCTCTTTCCAACCCTTTCGAGGACGACCCCTACCCCTCCTTCCTTCCCCTATAGATTTATATGCTTTCCATGTCATTCTACTTTGATCCATTCTCTCTAAATGACCAAACAACCTCAACAACCCCTCTTCTGCCCTCTAACTAATGCTTTTATTAACTCCACACCTTCTCCTAACTTCCACACTCCGAATTTTCTGCATAATATTTACACCACACATTGCCCTTAAACAGGACATCTCCACTGCCTCCGGTAATCTGTAAATACCTTTGTAACTTGTCATGATTGTGACCAGACTTACCTGGAGTTCATTACCTTTGTAAATTGTGAGTTCATTACCTTTGTAAATTGTGAGTTCATTACCTTTGTAAATTGTGAGTTCATTACCTCTGTAACTTGCTCAGCTATCAAAACTTTGGAGTCCAGTCCCTGGACCAATTATGTACCTCTGTAATCTTTTGACTACCGCCCACAGGATGGGTATGGGGTGCATAATAAACATATTAAACTAACTCCACTGCCTCCAACCGTCTCCTCGCTGCTGCATTTACCACCCAAGCTTCACACCCATATAAGAGTGTTGGTACTACTGTACTTTCATACATTCCCTTCTTTGCCTCCATAGATAACGTTTTTTGACTCCACATATACCTCAACGCACCACTCACCTTTTTTTCCCTCATCAATTCTATGATTAACCTCATCCTTCATAAACCCATCCGCCGACACGTCAACTCCCAAGTATCTGAAAACATTCACTTCTTCCATACTCCTCCTCCCCAATTTGATATCCAATTTTTCTTTATCTAAATCATTTGATACCCTCATCACCTTACTCTTTTCTATGTTCACTTTCAACTTTCTACCTTTACACACATTCTCAAACTCATCCACTAACCTTTGCAATTTTTCTTTAGAATCTCCCATAAGCACAGTATCATCAGCGAAAAGTGTGTCAGTTCCCATTTTGAATTTGATTCCCCATAATTTAATCCCACCCCTCTCCCGAACACCCTAGAATTTACTTCTTTTACAACCCCATCTATAAATATATTAAACAACCATGGTGACATTACACATCCCTGTCTAAGACCTACTTTTACCGGAAAGTATTCTCCCTCTCTTCTACACGCCCTAACCTGAGCCTCACCATCCTCATAAAAGCTCTTTACAGCATTTAGTAACTTACCACCTATTCCATATACTTGCAACATCTGCCATATTGCTCCTCTATCCACTCTATCATATGCCTTTTCTAAATCCATAAATGCAATAAAAACATCCCTACCTTTATCTAAATACTGTTCACATATATGCTTCAATGTAAACACATGATCTACACATCCCCTACCCACTCTGAAGCCTCCCTGCTCATCCGCAATCCTACATTCTGTCTTACCTCTAATTCTTTCAATTATAACCCTACTGTATACTTTTCTGGTATACTCAGTAAACTTATTCCTCTATAATTTTTACAATCTCTTTTGTCCCCTTTCCCTTTATATAAAGGGACTATACATGCTCTCCGCCAATCCCTAGGTACCTTCCCCTCTTTCATACATTTATTAAACAAAAGTACCCACAGTCAGTGGCCAGGCTTCAAACACCTTTTATTGTACAGCAATAAAGGAATGGAACAGACTACCCGCACATGTCAAAGCCAGTCATAGCGTGAACCAGTTCAAGAAGAGTGCCAAAAGGTGTCTGATGAATGTAGCTACAGAAAGGGAGGGGAATGATTTTCTATTTTTTAGCTAACATACGTGTAAATTTTACCTTATTCCTTGTAATGACCCTCGTATTGTAGATAGTCTTAATGACCTTGGTGTAGCAGATAGTCTTTTTAGTATGATAATAAGATGTTATCTTCATTGTAGAATAATAAGAAAATATTATAACCTTTATACTATAATAATAAGGTAAAAGGACCCCAATGGAAATAAGTCACTCTGTCTGACTTTTTTGGGTTATCCTAGGTTCTCTACACATATGCTGCTATGTATGATAATTCTATGTAACTGTATTTGTGTATACCTGAATAAACTTACTTACTTACTTACTTACTATAACCACTCCAACACTATATCCCCCCTGCTTTTAACATTTCTGTCATAATCCCATCAGTTCCAGCTACTTTACCCCCTTTCATTCTACGTAATGCCTCACGTACCTCCACCACACTTACATTCTGCTCTTCTTCACTCCTAAAAGATGGTATACCTCCCTGGCCAGTGCATGAAATTACCGCCTCCCTTTCTTCCTCAACATTTAAAAGTTCCTCAAAATATTCTCGCCATCTACCTAATACCTCCATCTCCCCATCTACTAACTCCCCTACTCTGTTTTTAACTGACAAATCCATACTTTCCCTAGGCTTTCTTAACTTGTTTAACTCCAAATTTTTTTCTTATTTTCATTAAAATTTCTTGACAGTGCCTCTCCCACTCTTTCATCTGCTCTCCTTTTGCACTCTCTCACCACTCTCTTCACCTATCTTTTACTCTCCATATACTCTGCTCTTCTTATAACACTTCTGCTTTGTAAAAAACCTCTCATAAGCTACCTTTTTCTCTTTTATCACACCCTTTACTTCATCATTCCACCAATCACTCCTCTTTCCTCCTGCCCCCACCCTCCTATAACCACAAACTTCTGCCCCACATTCTAATACGCATTTTTAAAACTATTCCAACCCTCTTCAACCCCCCCACTACTCATCTTTGCACTAGCCCACCTTTCTGCCAATAGTCGCTTATATCTCACCCGAACTTCCTCCTCCCTTAGTTTATACACTTTCACCTCCCTCTTACTTGTTGTTGCCACCTTCCTCTTTTCCCATCTACCTCTTACTCTAACTGTAGCTACAACTAAATAATGATCCGATATATCAGTTGCCCCTCTATAAACATGTACATCCTGGAGCCTACCCATCAACCTTTTATCCACCAATACATAATCTAATAAACTACTTTCATTACGTGCTACATCATACTTGTATATTTATTTATCCTCTTTTTCATAAAATATGTATTACTTATTACCAAATTTCTTTCTACACATAGCTCAATTAAAGGCTCCCCATTTACATTTACCCCTGGCACCCCAAATTTACCTACTACTCCCTCCATAACATTTTTACCCACTTTAGCATTGAAATCCCCAACCACCATTACTCTCACATTGATTCAAAACTCCCCACGCATTCACTCAACATTTCCCAAAATCTCTCTCTCTCCTCTACACTTCTCTCTTCTCCAGGTGCATACACGCTTATTATAACCCACTTTTCACATCCAATCTTATTTTACTCCACATAATCCTTGAATTAATACATTTATAGTCCCTCTTTTCCTGCCATAGCTTATCCTTCAACATTATTGCTACTCCTTCTTTAGCTCTAACTCTATTTGAAACCCCTGACCTAATCCCATCTATTCCTCTCCATTGAAACTCTCCCACCCCCTTCAGCTTTGTTTCACTTAAAGCCAGGACATCCAGTTTTCTTCTCATTCATAACATCCACAATCATCTCTTTCTTATCATCTGCACAACATCCACGCACATTCAGACTTCCCACTTTGACAATTTTTTTCTTCTTATTCTTTTAGTAATCTTTACAGGAAAAGGGTTACTAGCCCATTGTTCCCGGCATTTTAGTTGACTTTTACAACACGCAGGGTTTAGGGAGGAAAGATTCTTTTTCCCACTTCCCCATGGATAAAAAGGAAAATTAATAAGCCGAACATTAAATAAAATAAAAGAAAACTCTTGGTGTGTATAAATAAATGTGTACATGTATGTATATGGACCTAAGTTAATAGAAGAGAAAGCATCCCTGTAATTTGCATTTTTTATAAATAATTTTTATATTTTAATTATATATATATTATATATTAATATAATATTATATATATTCAAAACAACCCTCTAAAAAAATAGGAAAAATTCCAACGCTTTCTGACTATCACAATCAAGGAACTATGTTCCATAGTTCCTTGATAAAGTGAGTATCACGAAAGCGCTTGGA